AGTACTTACTAAGTTGTGCTGTTGGTGAAGTATGCACCGCTGCTTTCCAAGGGATGGTAGAGCTTTACGCAACGACGTGAAAATGAAAGCCGTCCTCAGTATCGACCGTTGGTTGGCGCGAAAGTCGGGCTTTCAGGGCAGCAAGAACGACGCGAACTTGCTGTCCCTGGGACTTGCCGATCTCGTACCAACACATCCTCACCGGTCCCGTGGCTGCAATGCAGAGTGCATTCTTAATGCGAATGGTTTGATTTCATTTAGCATACCAGAGGATGGCCGCGGATTATGCGTTCCGTTACTTCAGAAAGGCAGCCGGCATCTTGCGCAAGGACGTTTGTTCAAGTATGTTGTCTGCAGAAAAAGGTTCTCATGGATGTTGTTGTGCAGGAGTTGGCAGGTCAGAAATACAAATCTCTGAACGTGATCTGTGATGCTTCCCCGAAGGGGAAGCTGGATGCTCCTTGGCGTATGAGGTTGTTGAAGTCATGCATTATTTTGCTTGGCTAGACCCTAGTTTGCAGATTTCCTGGTTTCAGGCTTGGCTTCCTCTCGTCAGTGCCGGCGAGACAGCAGTCGTCTGGACCATTCAGAAGATGGCTGAATTAATGCCATCCACAGCAAGCTTAGAAACAAAGTTGGAGGAGGCACAGCGTGTGGCAGATTCATTTGCTGAGAAGATGTGTGAGACTCATCGTTCCAAGCCCAGCAAAAGCACGCATCTGGGCTGCACCAATCCTAGCATTTCATGGGCATTACTGCGGTTGCAGTCAGTGTCTGTATCCCAGGCCGAAGGCCATCTCGAAAGTGCGCCAGAAAAGACTGGCCAGCAGAGAGCAGTTGCGATGCTTAGGACACATTCTAAGTTTGCTGGACCTCAAATTGAAAAAACCCGTGGATGCTCTTCGGCCAGTGAGTCTCAACGAACATGAGCAGAGAATGCTGGAGGATGGGGTGCCCTTTTTGTGGAACTCCGTGACAGGGGCCTCAGAGTGGGACCTTTGCGGCCCGGAAAGTGTGGATGGATCACTTCGTGTGGTGCTGCAGCCCGATGAAGGGTCCCCAATGTACTGCTGCTATCGTTTCCTAGCCTCCCGGGGCTTCAAAATCAATCTGATCCGCGATGAATTGTAACTCAGCTTTTCTTATAGCTTTCAGTTTCGCAGCCAGCATGCGTCATTGTCCGCCGGAGCGTGAAGGCACAAGCTGAACACGCACTTTCTTCGCGTCATCAACTGTTCCTCCAACGTGAGACGTTTCTGGGGCTGCAGGATGAGTTGTGCATGTTGCCCTTTTTTTTGTGGCTTGTTCGTCTGTTCATTAAGGCATGAGCAGTTTAACCTCGTGGTTGATGAAAAGCAAAAAGAGTCCGTGGGCTACTTCGAAAATTGGAAATTCGTGGAAAGAGGCTGGCTTGCGTTATTTGAATTTTGCAGCTGGACCGCAGAAAGCAGCAAGAAGCATCTGCTTGCGGCCGTTAGTGATTGTCAGAATTCCCCAGGCTCAGCCCGGAGATCTCCTTCAACAGTTGTTTGGACCAAGCATCCTCAGGGAGAACCTCAAGCCGCAATGTGTACTGTTATTTTTTATTTGATTGCACGAGATGATGAGCTAAGGAACAACCATACGTGCTGTGAGGACAATGAGGAATGTTTCAACATCGTGTGCTCCATCGTGGCGAAACACTGCAAGCAACTGGCACTGCAACATGAGGGTTGTCGACTTGGTGCGGTAGACGTTCCTTTCTTGTGTTTGCAATAAAGTGAGGAGTGTCGGAAGTCTCTATGAGGGCAAACGTTGGCTGTCCTGGGGGCACGCGTCTCGCATCTTCAAGCCCCAATACACAACGACGCTGTTGTTGCTCTTCTGGGCCTCGATGGAGGATCCCATGAGCAAAGTTCCAATAAGCTAGAACAGTGATCATGATGGCTCAGAGACACAGACATATTTGCAGGAGGGACTGGATCCTTTCGTGGCTGCATCCGCAAGTGGCAGCTCCAGCAGCAAATCCTTTGAAAAGATCCTGTATCTATGTGTGCGAGCACCCGTCTCATTTGATTGGCTAATGTGTCACCCTGTTATCCATGACTTTTTTTTGTCTTTTTTCTGATGTTTCCTCGAAGGCTTTGGTTGATGATCATGCTCATCGGCTGTTCAACAGTGTGAGCTTCCTTGCGCAGCCGTGGTGTAGCATCAACCTGTGGCTGGCAACTTGGTGTAATGAATGCATAGAAGGATGTTGTGTTGCAGAAGTGCGCAAGGCTGTTCTTGTGACCTGTCAATTGTTTTCCCAGCCAAACAATCCAACAAGACCAAGCTGGACACGGTGCACAAGCAGACTGCTTATGCGAACTCGTCGCAGATGGAATTGATGATGGCCAAAATTGTTACCGAGGGCCTGGGAGTGACGTGCATGCAGCTTCTCGAACTGGATCCCGACTGCTGTCCTGAAGATGCTGATCCAAACTTCCAGGCCTGGTCTTGATGAGCAATTGACAAAGCACATACGCATGGGAACACATTCTGCGCAATGGCGCAGAACCTTGACAGGTCTATGTTTCAGGGCAGAACAAGCGCGTTTGCATTTGTGTTTGTGCTGATTCCTCGTAGAAGGTACGTATGTAATGAAGAAAGACTACGGCTCTGGAAAGTTTACACAAGCAGATTCCAATTTCCAATCTGCGTAAAGTGTTCAGTGCCAAGCACATGTTGTGGTGTCCATGGCAGGTGGCTCCCTTTGTCAACAGCAACGTGTGAACTTTCCTGGAAGCAAAAGCAAATCTAGCAGAGCTACAGTCCTGGTTGGGCGGAATATTCTCGCAATTCTCGCAGCTTCAGTTCCTTTTTTTGTCTTCAATTCCACTATCGTGAAATTCCCCGTATCCGCATGCGCATACTATGTCGGAATCCCCACGTGCATAGGTACGACTGTAATCTGATGATTCAAGCTGGGGTCTGTCGTTTTCGCAGCACACATCATGAACTGTTTAAGGACTGCGACAAATCGTTTGTTTTCGGACCCCGTGATTTGGAATAAGTGACCTGAAAGATGTGGATGATTAAGCGTAGTCTAACAAATGAACATCATCGCAAGAATTTGTCAATGTCAATGGATTCATTTCTAAGTTCCATTCTCCTCCTGACTTGAGAAGTAGCTGATTTTGGATTAGAAGTTTGTGGAAGCTGAAGTTCTCTCATTCCTGCGTCATTCGCTCGGTTAGTCCCAGAAACAACGACACACATGATTTGTGGAAATCAGGTTTGCCCGTGATCTCTACAAGCTAGGGTGTCTGTGTATGTGTTCCGCGTGATTACACAGTTGGATCTTTACTCATCATTTTTGGGCGAAACCCCAGTCATGTTTCAGTTTGAAAGGCTAATTTTCAAGACCATGGAAAGTAGAGCCGCGGTCTATCCACAGACTTCCTTGTGCTGATGTGTGTGGATTAGGAACATAGCCTTGGGAGCAGAGCCTCGTACAGTAATAATGTAGAGTGTCCTGGAAATTCTAAGAGGCGGCTAGTCCGCCGGCGGACCTAACCGCCCAGGCTGCACATTCCAGCTTGTGAACATCTTTAACCTTTAAACCTTTAATCGGAAGCAAAAGGCGTCCCGTCTTTAGCAACATCCCCCAGACATCCCGAAAACTCGAGACAAAACTGCAGCAGGTGATGACGATTCCAGAGCAACGCGACGATGCAAGTAAG